ATAGATGTGAATGGCTTTTCACAAACTGTGCTTGGAAGAAAGGTAATGCAAGAACATCCCAGCTCCCTGCTAAAATCAACATTTGGCAGCTGTCTTACAGAAAAGTTGCCCAGAGGGCACATATTCCCTCACACATTAAAGTGATTTAATTTTATTAGATTAATTTCTTACTCATATCCAGCGGAGACCACTGGCATGAAAGGACTAGAGTGTTAATTAGGCAAAGAAAGAGAAAGGCTTTAGCTTAGAGGTTTCTGGCACGGGGTACAGCCTGGTAGCGGGTAGTGCTAAGAGCACAGAGATACGCGTGTCGGTCCCAGTGAGGTGAAGACTTTGAGGGTAAGGATCCTCTCGGAGTGAGGGACATCCCCCCCCCCCCAGATTTATTTACTTTTATTGGAAAGGCTTGAGTACAGAATTTTTTCCCCAGTTGTAGGCTGGGTTGATGAGCAGCAGCGTGCCAGAAAGTTCTCAGACCAGAAAGTTCGGCCCCAGTGCCTCGCCGAGATTATGCTGTGTGCAGAGAAGAAGTGGAGGAGTTGTCACTCTTGCCTTTATACAGTGGTCCCGATAACAGATATCGCTGATTCCTTGACATTTCTCCTCTAAAATCATTTTCCTTTATATCTCTTAATGTGTTATCTTTGCATTTCCAGTTTTTTTCCTGTAGCTTGTTGAAAAGATAATTTTGGAAACTTCTAGAGAGGTAGAATATGCATCTGTTTCCTCTACATCTTACTTTATTGCATGGAATTATGCATAAAGTTTTAGTTTTATAGTCACTCCTTAATAAAAATGTGAAGTATCAGGCTGGCATTGCATATAGTGCATCACATGGGCACCAGTTTGTGTCCAGCTGCACCACATCCCATCCAGCTTGCTGCTTGCAGAGCAGCAGAGCGTGGTTTAAGTGCTTCGGCCCCTGCACCCACGTGGAGACCCTGAAGAAGCTCCTGGGTCGTTCTTTGTATTGGCGCAGCCCTGGCCATTGCAGCCGTATGGGAAGTAAGCTGCAGATAGAGTTTCTCTCGGTGTGTCTGTGTGTCTCCTTCTCTCTCTCTCTGCTTCCAACAAATTCATAAATCTGAAAAAAATTAAATGATACTAGAAAACAAACTACCTAAACATGCTAAAGACAGTTTAGTAAAATACAGCACAGCTAGCAAAGTGCTAATTTTTTTTGTAGATTTATTTTAAAGGCATTTATTTGAGAGAAAGAGAAGAGAGATTTTCCATTTGCTGGTTCACTCCCCAGTTGGGGCTAGGCCAGGCCACAGGAGCTCACAAGGAGCTGGGAGCTTCATCTAGGTCTCCCACAGGGGTGCAGGGGCCCAGTCACTTGGCCAGACCGCGCTGCTTTTCCAGGCACCTCAACAGGGAGCTGGATTGGAAGTGGAGCAGCTGGAACTTGAACTGATCCCTTCGTGGGATGCCAGTGCTTCAGGTGGTGGCTTTAACCCCCTGTACTTTAAGATATGTTCCTCAGCTAGCCCCAGAATATGAAATGCTGAAACTGTTACCATGAAAACCATAAGCAATATAAAATTACTAGTATAACAATTATCTTTTTTTTTTTAAAGTTTTATTTATTTTTATTGGAAAGTCAGACCTATAGAGAGAAGGCGAGACAGAGAGAGAGATCTTCCATCTGCTGGTTTACTCCCCCCCTCACCCCCCAGAAACTGCAATGGCCAGGAGCTTCTTCCGCGTCTCCCATGCGAGTGCAGGGTCCCAAGGCTTTAGGCCATCCTCTGCTGCTTTCCCAGGCCACAAGCAGGGAGCTGGATGGGAAGTGGAACAGCCAGGACATGAAGTGGTATCCATTTGGGATCCTGGTGTATGCTAGGTGAGGAGTTTAACTACTAGGCTACTGTGCCAGGCCCACAACTATCTTATATTTTAAAATATATCTTTGAGAATGTTCATCTGCTTGAAATGCAGAGAGAGAGATTTGAGATTTTCCACCTATGGTCATTCCCCAGATGCCTGTACCAGCCAGGGCTGGGGCAGGGTAACGGCAGGCACCTGCTACTCCATCTGGCTCTCCTGCCTGATTGACAGGAGCCCAGGACTTGACCACCACCTGCTACCTTTCAGGATGGGTTAACCAGAAGTTGATGGAAAGCAGAGTAGCTGGGATTTGAACAGGCACACAGACATTGGGTGTGGCCCTCCCCAGGATAACTAAGCCCACTGTACCCCAATCCCTTCCCCAACAGCTGTTTTTATATAGCTTAGTTTTACTAGTTTGAGCTAATTATGTCAAGGTAAATTCCTTATTTCTATTGGATATACAAACAGAAAACCTAGCGAAGTCATCTGGAGAACTGTTAGCACCAGTAAGAAAGTGTGATACAGTGTATGGCGGCTGGGGACATTAGAGACATATCAAACCACCAGAAGTGGTTTAGTTCGAAGCCAGGAGCCGGAAACTTCATCTATGTCTCCCATGTAGGTGTAGGGTCCTGTGGAGTTGAGCTACCTTCTGCTTTCCCTGGCATATTAGCAGGGTGCTGTGTAGGAGTGGATCAACTAGGACTTGAACTAGCACTTGTATGGGATGCCAGCACTGCTGCAGATGGCTGCTTTCCATGCTATGCTGTAGTGCGCACACCAAGAGATTTTTTTTTTTTTAAAGATTTCTTTATTTTTATTACAAAGTCAAATATACAGAGAGGAAGATCTTCCGTCCAGTGATTCATTCCCCAAGTGACCACAAAGGCCAGTGCTGCACCAATCTGAAGCCTGGAACCTGGAACTTCCTCCAGGTCTCCCACACAGGTGCAGGGTCCCAAGGCTTTGGGCTGTCCTCGACTGCTTTCCCAGGCCACAAGCAGGGAGCTGGATGGGAAGTGGAGCTTTCGGGATTAGAACCGGTGCCTATATGGGATCCTAGCGTGTTCAAGGCGAGGATTTTAGCTGTTATGCTATGGCGCTGGGCCCTCTTTTTTTGAAAGAAGAGGGGAAAAAAACACCCTAAACTTATTTTAAAATTTCAGTATGTGACCAAGCAGGGATATCTTTTTTTGGGGTTTTTTTTGGTATTCATTTATTTGAAAGACAGTCACAGGGTTCAGGAGAGACATAAAGAGAGAGGGCATACATCTGATGGATTTCTCAATGTGTAAGACTAGGTAAAATTTTAGTATTGCACTTGGAACTCTGTCCTGGTGTCATGTGGGTGATAGGTGGCCAGGTACTTGGAGCATCTGGAATTTGATTTGGAGCTCGTATGGGATCTGCCATCACAGGCAGCTTAACCTGCTATGCCATGATTATAGGCCCCATCGTAATCTTTCTGTCTTTTAAGAATTATTCGTTTTTATTGGAAAGTCAGATTTACAGTGAGAAGGAAAGGCAGAGGGAAGATTTTCCATCTGCTGGTGGTTCACTCCCCCAATGGCCGCAATGAGCAGAGCCGAGCTAATCTGAAGCCAGGAGCCAGGAGTTTCTTCTGCATCTCCCACACGGGTACAGGATCCCAAAGCCTCAGCTGCTTTCCCAAGCCACAAGTGGAGAGCTAGATGGGAAGTGGAGCAGCTGGGATACAAATGGCGCCCAATGGGTTCCCAGCACATACAGCTAAAGGACTTTAGCCACTAGGTCACTGCGCTGGACCCTAATGTTTTGTGTGTGTATTCTCTTACTATGTTGTAAAATTAAATGAAGCATAAAAATATCCATTATATTCAGAGTTTCATTTTAGTTTATAAAGAGAACTGGCTTCATTTCGTATTGGCTATTAATCAACAAATAGTTCCCTTTGGAGTTTTTGGACCGTTAGATTTGTGTTTAGTGTTCTGGCAGGTAGTAATATAAAATACCTTTATTACGGCCTTACTTGACCTTTTTAAGTGGCAGTTCAAGGTGTTTTCGTGGTGGGAGCACAGGCTATGGAATTGGCTCTCCCTGTCCAAATCTCAGATTGATCACCAAATATACGGTACTACTCTGCTCACTTAGGCTTTTCCGTTCTCTTTTCTGTATCATGAAGGGGGTACCAGTACCTAACAGGGCTGAGGTGATGATTAAGACAGACTTGTAAGTTTCCCAGAACACTGTGTAGCGTGTACTGATCGCTGCATAATAATATCCATTATAATCATTAGGTGTATGTACTAGTATATATTACATATACATATGGTTAAGAGAAATGTGTGCCTAAAACATAAAAAGTAGAACAATAGAACACTGGACAGATGTGGTGCAGTGGATAAGCTGTCCTTCGGGACGCTTGCATGCCCTGGCAGTGGACTGCAGTCCAGTTGCTCTGCTTCTTTCCAGCTTCCTGCTCACCTATCCTAAAAGGAAACAGATAATGGCTCATGTGCTTGGGCCCCTCCAACATGGGAGACTCAATTGGCGTTCTGGGCCCTGTGCTTCAGCCTGGTTTGACCTCTGCCTATTTGGGACATTCAGAGAGTAAACCAGTAGACACAGTAACATTCATTCATTCCCTCTTTCCTCTGTCTTTACAGTAGATTAAAACAAACAATTAAATATTTGTGATACAATAAGCTGTCCTGAGGACCAGCATGATGGCATAGTATGCTAATCCTCTGTCCGTCGTGCTGCCACCCCCCCCCCCCCTTATTGGTGTCATTTTATATCCTACTTGTTCGATTTCCAATCCAGCACCCTGCATAGGCCTGGAAAGCAGCAGAGGATGGCTTCAATCCTTGGGTTACTCATGTGGAGACCCAGAGGAAACTCCTGTTTTGAATTGGCTCAGCTTCAGCCACTGTGGTCATGTGGGGGAAAAGGCAGCGGATGGAAGACCTCCATTTCCTTCTCTCTGTAAAATCGGTCATTATCTGTGGCACCAGGGCAGGGTGTGGAGAATGAATGAATGAATGAGTTCCTGCGTTGTAACTTCCGTTGGGAGGGTTGTACCTGATTGTGATATCCGTCCTTGGGTAATTTAAGACAGCGTAGTGATGTGCTGATAAGGATACAGAAGTGAAATTTTCATAAATTTAAGTGTTGCATTTCTGTTCCAGGTGTCCATTAGCCAGGTGAAAGTAGCAGAACCATGGCTCAGTTCCCAACACCTTTTGGTGGTAAGTTTTCAGAAACTTCTCTATTAATGTATTTTGAATCTAGAATTTTAACACTTGGCATAGTGACAAATTTTAAATAGGAAAAATAGGATAATATAATCCTTCTTGTACTTCATCATCTAATTGCAAAAATTACCAACTTATGGCCGATGTTTTTCCCCTTGAGTTCTTCAGTAGAAATTCCACAGGCATAATAACATTACTAAACATATTTTTATATATATCTATGTAAGTACTTTTCCCTGTAAAGCTATATAATGGAAAACAATAAAAGAGCAAAGTGCACTTCTGTAATGCTATGATCAAACCTATAAAAATTTCAACATCACATATTTAGTGTATGTTAAATTTTTTTCCAATAGATTAATTTTTTTTCTTACGATTTGTTCAAATTGGTGTCTAAGTAATGTGCATACATTACATTAGTTGTTGAGCTCTTCCTTTCAAGGCCTATATCTTATTCTTTGCAGTTTGTTGGGTCTTTTATCTTACTTTAACTGTTTGAAAGATCCACTCTACATAAAATGTATTTTTGAAAAAGATTTATTTATTTTTATTGAAAAGGCAGATTAGATTTACTGAGAGAAAGAGAAGCACTACACAAATGGTCTGAATGGCCAGAGCTGAGCTGATCTGAGGCCAAGAGCCATTAGCTTCTTTCGGGTCTCCTATATGAGTGCAGGGTCCCAAGGCTTGGGACCGTCCTCGACTGCCTTCCCAGGCCACGAGCAGGGAATTGGATGGGAAGTGGGACAGCTGGGATACTAACTGGCGCCCCAATGGGATCCCAGCACAAGCAAGTTCAGGATTTAGCCACTGAGCCATCGCACCTGTTCCCATAAAATATATGTTTTAAGTGATTTTTTTTCTAACCACCATAGGAAATTATCATTGTTCTTGCTGAGCTTGGAAACGCTTCTTTTTCCTGCTTTTTGAATTAAAGAGGTTGTGCCTGTTGACATATCACTTTTGGCAGCTGTAACCTCATGTCATGCACCAAACCCTGTCCTGTGATGATATGTCCAAGTTCCTGTCGTGTGTGCATGTACCCAGAGCTGTGAATTGCACAGCCACTAGTCATTCTGTTTGATATTCTTGAAAAAAATTTTTTCTTTTTTTGTTTTTCTTCTTAAATACTGTGTAATTTTTGGTTCTCGTTTTTGCTGTTGTTTATGGTTCCAAGATGCTTTGTGGCCAGGCAGTAATAACCTGCTCTGGAATTTGCACGACTCCAACCACTGTGAGGTCCTCGGGCCACCTGCTCCCTCAAGCCTAACACAGTGCTGACCACACACGCCATGGCTGAGAGGCTGCCCACCTCACCTGACCCGTTACAGCAGGCCCGCTAGAGAGGAGAGCTGCAAGGTTTAGACACTTTCTTACCTGTTGCCTGTTCTCATGTGCCTTTTTGCAAGTTGCCCATGCATGTCATGAGTAACCATTTTAGTGGATTTGTTTGAGCAGACTAAGGACTAAAGTAAGGAAGCTCTCAGGAGTCAGGGGACGCACACCAGGTCTGAGGGACAAAAAGGAAGGAGAGCCTACATCTCATTCCATCCTCCTTGATTGGTGGGTAATTATTTATTTATTTTTTAATAGAATACTCATTATTAAAAAAACAAGGCTTTAGTGAAGTACAATTTATATATTATAAAATTTATTAGCTATAAGTACATAATGCAGTGATTTTTAGAAAGTCAAAAGAATTGTGACACGATCACAATGTTGCAGTATTGATTTTTATTGGAAAGGCGGATATACAGAGAGGAAGATCTTCCGTCCGATGATTCACTCCCCAAGTGAGCGCAACGGCCGATGCTATGCTGATCTGAAGCCAGGAGCCTCTTCCCGGTCTCCCACAGGGGTGCAAGGTCCCAAAGCCTTGGGCTGTCCTCGACTGCTTTCCTGGGCCACAGGCAGGGAGCTGGATGGGAAGCGGGGATGCCGGGATTAGAACAGGCGCCCATATGGGATCCCGGGGCGTGCAAGGCGAGGACCTTAACCACTGCACCACTGCGCTGGGCCCAATTTTGGAACATTTTTATCACACTTAAAGGATTTTGACACCTGATTCTAGTTGTTTCTGTTTGTTTGTTTTTTATTTTTTGTTTTTTATTGTATATTAGTTAATTAGGGTAAAAAGGTTCAAGGGCTATGGGAAAGTGGGTAAGACTATTATCTTTTCCATATTGTTTCCTTCATGTTTAAAGGGGGGTATTAAGGGAGAAGGCCCACACAATTTCCCACCCTCCCCAGGTCCTGGATGTGGGGCATGCACTGAGGTTATTGCTCAGGTGGTTTTGATATTGCAACAGTTATTAATCGCTGCCAGTCTTGCCACTCCAAGCACTGTGATGTTGCCGAACAATCCACTGATTGACCTAATCCATCATAAAATCTCTGTTTGCCCCGTATTTCACTGCCAAGATATAGCTGAGATGGTTGGTTGACCTGCTCTGTTTTCTCTCTTTTCTTGGTTTGGGTTCTGAGTCCAGCATTTAGATTAGGAAGATCTCCAAAGAAACTTTGTCTGAGGTGTTCTCAAACCAGATTCTTGTATGTGCTAGCAAGTACAGGGCCCGGCACAGTCCATCGCCCCGATCAGCTGGTAGTTGCAATTGCTGGGTTGGTTCTGTTTTCCCTCACGACTTGCACTGGAACCAATGGGTGTTGCAGTCCAGCCTGGTTCTGCACAGCGCATACTCGGCCCTCACATAAACCAGTGGGAGCTTCAGCCTGCAATAACCCCCACCAGGCCCGCCCCCTACCCTGGTTTGCCAGTATGTGTAGCAGTAATCCAGTCTGTCCCACACCCCATTCTACCCCAGCTGCTGTCTTAGTTTTATGTCCTCCCATGGAAGTGGTATCCAAGAGGGATGAGCCCACTATTTCCCTCCCAGGCCTCTCCCACTCCCAGATTATGCACTCTCCAGATAGTTCTGTGGTTTGCCTTGACAGAACTAACCCCCAGTGCCAGCCACTGCCAGCTGATGCTGTGGCTAAGCCCAAACAACCCTCATCCACTCTAATTTTGTTTGCACCAGTAGGAATAATCAGCCCAGCCTGGCTTTTCCTGATCTAGTCCACATGAGGCACACAGGTGTTGTAGCCCTGCCTAGTCTGGTCTGCCCCCATCCCAGCGCACACTCTCCTGCGGAAGTAGCTGTCCAGCAAAGGAACCACCCCTTGTTCCCCTGCTGGCTCTGCCCCCTCCCGTCCTGGATCTCATGCTTGCTGGTTGGGCGCTGTGGTCCCTTCTGGTACAGGCAACCTCACCTTGGCATTCCGTATTGTGCACTAATCCTTGTTGCGACCGAACCTGGCTCAACCCACACTTTTCTGGTGCTTGGATTTGCCAGTGGATGATGTGGACAGACTCAGCCTGGTCTTCCCCCAACCCCTGCCAATTGCATGCCAGTGGGTAACTTTCCATGCCCTATCTGGGCTGTTTCCTATCATGTTTCTTGTGCTTACTTGCCGGGTCTGTGTCCTGCCAGAGAAGTTGCCCAGGCTCCTCCCTCAGAACCTCTCCCAAGGCCAGGTTTCATGCTTACCAGTGGGTCCATGAGCCAGCCCTACTCAGTCCACCTCCTGTCATAGCAGGAACTGTGGCTTTTCCTGACTGGCCTTCAACCCAATCTGGTTCTTGCTGTTGAATGTTTCAGCCCAGCCATGGTTTGTCCATACCCACCTGTGGCTCACACATGGCTCAGTAGGGAATTGAGACCTTGCCTAGTCCATCGCACATCTGCCTTGGTCCTCCAGGACACCAGAGGGTGTTGGGGTCTGGCCCGGCTCGGTGCATCCAATCCCAGTCCATACTTGTGCCAAGGGAGATTACAACCATTTCCAGATCAGAACACAGCCCCCATTCCTGGCCACGCACCCCTTGGTGGGAACCTCAACCCAGCTAGGGATGACCCCTTAGCTCCCCAACTGGGCATGTTCCCAGCCATAGATCACTTGCCTGCCAGTGGATGCTCTGACTTAGCTTGGCACAGCCCCTCACCTGTCCCGACCTCTGCCTTAGACGCTGTGGCTTAATGTTCCTGGCTCATGCAGACCAGTAGGTGCAAGAGCCTAGCTCGGCATGACCTCTGCTCCCTCCTGGTCTCTAGTTTTGCTTGTGGGCTAAGGTTTGCTCAGTCCTGCCTAATCTACTCGCTTCCATTACCAATTGACACATTTGCCAGTTGTTGGAGCTGCTTTGCCCAGCTTGTCCAACCCTTAGGTCTGGACCACATGTTCACCAGCGGGAGCTATGACTCGCCAAGGGAGTTTCCCATGTTCCTCCACTTAATCCCCTCCTAGACCCAGTTCTCATACATGCCATTGGGTTTAGGCCAGTGCCTGGTGCAGTCTGGCCTTCCATTTAGCCTTGTATGAGTTGGTGAACGTTGTAGCCCGGCCCACCCCACACCCTAATCAGGATGCACATTCAGGTGCTGCTGTCCTGACCAGCCCAGACTATTGGGGGTTTCTTTACCTGTGATTGATGGCAGGCTCCTAGGTCACACCAAGCTTAGTCCGTCACCACCCCAACTCTTGAGATAACCAGTGGGGCTAGAATTTCCACAGGGTGTGGCCCACACATCCCTCACAGAATCTACCCCTGGTTATGGTTCTTGAGTGCTAGTTAATGTCATGACTTACTTAATGTGAGCCTTCTCCTGATCCGTCATCATGTCAGGTAACATGATATAATTCTGCAGGACAAGTGCCGACCCTTCGCTTTTGTATGGACTGGTATTTGGCAGTCAGCATTGTTCAGTGATTATAAGTTTTACAAAGGAAGAATTTATTGGAAATCTTTACGAATGCTTCACATGCTAGAAGCACAGTGGGTTCAACCTGGAGCTAACTAAGCAGCGACTCAAAGAACTAAAACCCCAGAGTTCCCTGGCCGGGCGGCCAGCAGGCAGAGCCTGGCACCAAAGGGCACACTGGCCTCCTGGGGACAGCTCACCACGTGCACATGGTGGCTGTCATCTGGGATCCAGGCATGAGACGCCCCATCCTGAGACCCGCCAGCAGCCAGGAGGCTTCTGGAAGTTTAAACTCCCAGGCCCAAGGTTGCGCCCCTCCCCAATCCTATTCACCGCCCAATGAAGGCAGCAGGTGGGTCCTGGACCTGTCCAGTCGCAGAGACCTCCCACTTCGGTGTACTCACCCAGAAGGGAGCAGCCCCAGGAGCCCAGGCAGAACCGGGAACAGCTCACCACGTGCACATGGTGGCTGTCCTTGATTCTAGTTGTAAGACTAGCTTCTTCCTTATTAACTTTTTCCTTTGGCATTTAAGTTACGTGAGACTGCATTTTTAAGTTAACTTCGTTTATAGCTTAGATTTGTGTGAATACATTAATTACTAACATACTGTATCTTCACATAGTCCTGATATTGGATTCTACAAGAGGAATTTGTCATATTTCTTTTTTCTTTCCCTCTTTTATTTCCTGCTTTACACTCTGGTTTGAACATTCCTCCTAAGAACAAACATGTTAACTTGTCAAGCCATTTGTAAGATGGTGGGGTTTTCCCAAGGGCTGGGAAATTGGTGGGTCACTCACTGTCCGACTGTTTTGGATTGCAGGCAGCCTGGACATCTGGGCCATCACTGTGGAGGAGAGGGCCAAGCATGACCAGCAGTTCCACAGTCTAAAGCCAAGATCTGGATTTATTACTGGTAATTGGCGTCTGTATTTTTACATCTTTCCTTATTAGTGCATATATCGGTGAAAAATATACTTTGCAAAGCTGAGCTGAGCACATAGGACCATAAGGGGTGTCTAACTTGCTCCAACAGAGTGTGTGCTTTCACAGTAGCTTTTCCTGCAACCCTTTCAGTCTTAAGGGTTTTTTTAAGATTTATTTTATTTTTAATCAAAAGTCAGACATGCAGAGAGGAAGAGAGACAGAGAAAGACCTTCTGTCCAATGACTCACTCTCCAAGCTGCCACAACAGCTGAAGTTGAACCCATCTGAAACCAGGAGCCAGAGCCTCTTCTGGGTCTCCCACGTGGTTGCAGGGTCCTAAGGCTTAGAGCCATCCTCAACTGCTTTCCCAGGCCACAAGCAGGGAGCTGGATGGGAAGTGGGGCTGCTGGGATTAGAACCAGCACCCATATGGGATCCCGGTGCATCCAAGGCGAGGACCTTAGCCACTAGGCCACTGTACTGGGCCCTTAGTCGTATGTTCTAATGTTAATGCTGATGGATTCATTTCATCGTAGGGTTATTATTTGACTTCTGCTATGTGTTACATTCAGTAATTTTAGGTTTATCAGCCTTCCTTAATTTCCTAATAAATACTTTAAGAGTATTTCTGTCAGCTTTCTCTCTCTTTTTTTTTTTTGCCCTGATTTTTTCCATTTTTTTCACAGGTGATCAAGCAAGAAGTTTTTTTTTGCAATCTGGGTTGCCTCAACCTGTCTTAGCACAGATATGGTAAGTTGAAATTTTATGTAGGCAGAATGTGAAATAAATATTGTCCAGTTCTATTTGCTTGCTAACATGATTAAAAAACAAAAGGCTTATCAATTTTTATTTAAAAGAGTTACAGAGAGGAGTGTTGAAGAGATTTACAGAAAAGCCATACTTGCATATAAAGAACCAGATATGAGATGTGGAACATAAGAAATTTCCAGAAGAAAACCCAGAACAGGAGCTGTTATTGTCATTAGTGGCTGGGTATTCCATAAGAGCAGTTTCCATCTAATTACTGCCCCCTTAAATGACCTGCCACTTTAAATTTCAAATTTTATGGAAATGGAATAAGGATTGACATAGCTCTAATTGAAGTCAAAAGCAAAGTCTACACAGTAGAATCCAAATGTTCTTTAAATTAAGGTGTCATCGTGAAAATCCTTAACTGTGCTCTGAAGAGCCAAGTTTTTCTTTTTTCCTTTTTTCTTTTTTTTTAATTTTACTTATTTTTATTATTATTTTATGATACAATTTTGTAGACCCTGGGATTTCCCTTATCCTGTCCCCAATTCCCTCCCCCTTCACTCTGTTCCCCTATCTCATTACTATAGTATAATTCTTCATGCATAGTCATGCGTCCATTATTGTGGGCATGGACAACGGCAGAGAGTCCAACATCCTATTGTCAAGATATAGTAAACAGTTTCATTGTAATTCCATCTTTGACTGGCAGTAGAGATGCATACTGCATTGTATCCTCCCATCTGGATATGATAGTCTCCTTTTTACAGTTACTATACATCCCCTTAAATGAAAAGCCACAATACTAAATCAACAACTAGAAGAAAAATAGAAATTTGCAATGCTATGAAGTTAAATAACATGCTGCTAGATATGATAGTATGCATTATACAGTTACTATACATCCCCTTAAATGAAAAGCCACAAAACATAATTAGCAACAGGAAGGAAAAAAAAAAAGAAATTAACAGCACCATGAAGTTTAATAACATGGTACTGAATGATTAATGTGTTGCCTTTATTCTAAGATGCTGTTGGCTTCTTTGCATGGGAATCAGCCATGTAATGGTGAGAATCAGCATTGTAGGTGGTCTGTGGTCTGTGTGCTGAAGCCAGACCATATGCCCAGGACTTGGTCCCTGAAATCAGAGAACCTGATGAGTCTGCAGCCAATATGAGATGAAAGAATGTGCTGCTTGCCAATGCCAAAAGCCCATTGGTGTGCCTCTCCCCACAGTGGGTGCAGTAGCCTGACCCTGGAAACCTTCTATTCATCCCCTGCCAGCCCACCCCAGCCCTGACTCTTGCATGGGTTGGCAGGTACAGCAGCCTGGCCTGGGAAGGCCCATAGCACTGATCCCCTAGTTATTAGCTTCTTTTCTACCAGCAGCGTAACACTTCCCCAACTACCAAGGGAAGCTAGGTAGTTAGGGGTATATTTTACTTTTATAACCCATCCTGCCCCTAACCCTGGCTCTCGCATGCATTGAAGTGTGTGGTGGCCTGGAGCAAGGCGACCTGTAGCTGCGGCTCTGCCCACATCAAGACCCCTCAGTGGCTCTAGCCCCAGCCCAAGGACCCCGGAGTGTGGGTGTCAGCGATCCATTTGCTCCCCCTACTTTGCACACTACCAGCATAGTTAATACAGAGTTGTCACGAACCAGACCCAGAATGCCAACCAGCTATTAGTGCAATATTTGCTAGTCACCAAGTCAGCCTAGGCAGTTGCCGCAGCTCGGGTGTATTTTACTTTTTTTTAACAGTTGTTTTCATGAAATGTCTGTATCTTTTTCAAAGAAAAGATTTTTGGAAAATAATTTGAAGTTTAATGAAGCACCAGTGTCCTAAGGGAACTATTCAGTGCATATTAGGAGCAAGATCTGTCTTCCACTTGATCTTCCTGGCTCTCATACTTCGCTTAGCAACCACCAGTAATTCTTGACCTGCTGGACTTCCGTTTTAAAATTTTAGCAGTAAAAGTTACAAAATTAAGCCATTACTCTCTCTTATGCTAATTTGTTGTTGTTTTTCTGGTGGGTCCCAGACCCTCTCCTCTTTTGGTAGAGAGAGAATTGAGATTTACCTTGAAATTTTTTAAAAATTCTTTTATTTTTATAATCTTTACATAGTTGATTAGAGCACAAAGGGCCAAGGGCTACAAGAAAATGGGTAGGACCATTGTTTCCATATTAATATTATTATTTTTTTTTTCTGTATCTGATGTTAGGGGAGAGATAAAGGGAGAAGCCCCACCAACCTCCCACCCATCCCAGGTCCCCTATGTGGGGCATGCTCTGTGGGTCCTGCTCATGCAGTTTTGATAATTGATCAGTTCTGAATTGCTGCTGATCTCACTGTTCTAGGCACGATGAAATCTCTTCAGAACCCACTGGCTGACATAGTCTCTTCATGATTGGGGTTATGAGATCAGCAGTTCAGTTGAAGGGATCCCCAAAGAAACTTCATCTAAGGTGATCCCAGATTAGATTCTTGCCAGTAAAGTGTCCAGCACCATCCATTGCCCCAGTCAGCTTATGCATATGCTGGTGGTTGCAGTTGCTGGGTCAGTTCTGTTTCCAGCCCAGTCTTCCACTAGAACCAATGGATATTGCAGTCCAGCCTTATTCTGCCCAGCACACAATCGGCCCTCACGGAAACCAGTGGAAGCTGCACAGCCTAGTCGGGGCGATTCCCAGTAACTCCCACCAGGCCTGCCCCCTACCCTGGTTCCTGTGCTTGCAGTATGTACAACAGACTTGTCCAGTGTGTCTACCCTGACGTTTTATTTAGGTAGACCCTGTGTCGTACTTTAGAGAATTTAAGGTTGGGAATTGCGAACTGTTTCTGGTCTCTCTCTTCTCTATTTTCTGTCTCAGGACTTTGTTGCAGGTATTTGAGTGGTATGGGCTGATGGGAAGTATCTGTTAGAAATCATTGTAAAGTTTTGTTCCCTGTATAAAACTGTTCCATTAACTACTTCATAAACTTTTGAACTGTAACCTATTCATGCTTTGGGGACGCCTTGTCTCTTCAATCTGATTTTCTGAATTCTCAAGAGAATGGAATTAAGTCAGAGTGTGTTCTGCCAAATCCTAACGGCGGCCAAAGAGGATTTGCCTTCCTAGAAATTGTCTTACCAGTAAGAAACTGGAAGGAACTTGGCAAATAGACTGTTAGCAAATTAAGTGCTTAAGATTTTGTTGTAGCCTTGCCTTGGTTTGGAAAAGAGTGGAAGAAGAAAACGGGGGTGGGGGAGACGAGCCAAAATGTATGAGAGAAAGTTTGGATGAGGTCTTAGGAATCCTAGGCACTTGGGTCCTCAGATTTGCAGATGTGAGGGAAAGGCAGGGAGCAACAGCTGGAGACAGGCTGGTTTGAGGGGAGAAGAGAACCCAAGAAAGCAAGGCAAACATTGTAGCCATGGGGGGATTTGGGTTGGGGGCGAAGGAAGAACCCCAGGGTTTGTATGCTCCTAGGATACATCTGAGCTTGTGTCAGAATAGCCTTCAGCCCCCAGCACAACCGGTTTACTAAACCCGGTTATACCCTCCACTGTCACCAGGGTTTCCCAGACTCCTGCTGCCCTCTCCCCAGCCCTCAGTTGTATAGCTTCACCACTTTAGTCCTTGAGCATTTTGCCAGCTGTGCACACCAGCCTCTAGAAACCATGCTGGGTTACCCTCATCTCCGCCTGGGCATCCAGCCCATTACCTGCTTCGATTCAGGCCAGTCCCATGTTTCTGTCTTCAACACTGTTTCCATTCTTTTTTTTTTTAAGATTTATTTATTTATTTTTGGAAAGTCATATATACATGGAGGAGGAGAGACAGAGAGGAAGATCTTCCATCCGATGATTCACTCCCCAAGTGACCACAACAGCCAGTGCTGCACCGACCCGAAACCAGGAGCCAGGAGCTTCCTCCAGGTCTCCCACACGGGTGCAGGGTCCCAAGGCTTTGGGCCGTCCTGGACTGCTTTCCCAGGCCACAAGCAGGGAGCTGGATGGGAAGTGGAGCTGCTGGGATTAGAACTGGCACCCGTATGGGATCCCGGCACATTCAAGACGAGGATTTTAGCTGCTAGGCCACAGCACCAGGCCCACTAAAGGAAGTTCCAGGCTCCTGGCTTTGGATTGGCACAGCACTGGCCATTGTACTCACTTGGGGAGTGAATCATCAGATGGAAGATCTTCCTCTCTGTCTCTCCTCCTCTCTATATATCTGACTTTGTAATAAAAATAAATAGATCTTTTAAAAAAATCTCCTTCTCAATCTCTCTCTGCCTATCTAATCAAACAGGGAGCCCAGCAGCTGGAATAACTTCTATGAAAGTAGATCTACCACAACTCTCAGGAATAAAGTCCAAAGTTACTACTACTGCTGATAGCATGTGGGGGTGGTTTTTTTCCCTCTTTGTGTCACACTCTTCCTGGATTTCTTCATTCCTGCCCCAGCGATCTTCCTATTCTAGAAATAGGCCAGTTTGCTCCTTGCCTTAGAGTCTCTGCCCTTAGTACTTCCTAGAACTAGTTCCTTATCCTAGAGGTGTCACATTGTGTGTCACCTCTGCCCGCCCACTCCCACTCGCCTTCACTCTCACCTCACTGAATAGTCTGATTTTTCTTTCTGTCCTGGAGTGTCTGCACTGCAATGCAAGCCCTGGGGGAGGAGGAAGCTTTTTCACAGCTGTGACTCCAGTTCCTAGGTGGTGCCTACAGCTCCGCAGGTGGCCCTCCTCCTCGAAGTAATTGATTTTTGAATGAATGAGTGAATTGAGTGGCTAGGCTGGGTTCTTCTGCATTATTGTTTGAGGTTTCCATCCCTTCAGCCAGCACCACCCTGGGTATGAGCAGCTGTGACAAGGCTCTGGGAGAGGCTGGCTGCTGGAGAACTCTGCTTCAGCCAGGCCGCAGGCAGCAAGAGGAGGCAGGAGGAGCCTGGCCTGGGTCCTAATCCTACGCTATGCACAAAGTGATTTCAGAATCGCTACACTCATATCCACTGCTCACAATAACCTATCAAATAGAGGAAAAGAGAACGTTGTGGTTTTTTGTTATTCCAATGAAGACATAATGTTCTATACTGAGGAAACTACTTGTGTTAGTTTTTCCCCCTCCTCCTTTTTGGATGTACTTTTAGTTTAAAATGCTAATTTTTAGAAACGATTTATTTATTTTTATTGGGAAGTCAGAGTTACAGAGAGAAGGAGAGTCGGAGAAAGGGCTAATTCACTGGTCACAATGGCCAGAGCTGAGCTGATTCTAAGTCAGGAGCCAGGAGCTCCCTCTGGATTCCTCACGTGGCGCAGAGTCCCAAAGCTTTGGGCCATCCTCAACTGCTTTCCCGGGCCACAAGCAGGGAGCTGGATGGGAAGCGGGGCTGCCGGGATTAGAACCAGTGCCCATATGGGATCCCGGGCCTGCAAGGCGAGGACCTTAACCCCTGCGCCACCACGCCGGGCCCGCAGGGAAGTCTTTAGAGATAGAAGCCAACTTGTATCCCAGTGTGTTGGACCGGACTGACGGGGATAAGTAGAGGGCTGTGCTTTGTGGGATTAACTACTCTGACCCCCAAATTACCAAAAGACTCTATTACCAAAGAGTGCAACTGTTAAATTTGCTTAACTGCGAATGATTTTTTTTTTTTTTGAACTACAAAATTCTCAGCTAAATGTTGGGATTATGGTTGGGGATTTTAAATTAAACCCAAGAATTAGAAGGTTACATGTTTTTCTTCTTCCTCATTTTTATAAGCACTAGATGTTCTGATCAAATCCTTACCATAAAGTCTTTTCTCCTTTTTTACACTCATTGTTTTATATTCAGGAGTTCTGCTTCTTACTACAGAACATTTTCTTGGGCACTGGTGTGAGTAGCAAGGTGGGCATCTGTTTATTTACTAGTTGCATTGAGGTTGACTAATGGGAACTGTTTTCTTCATGAAAACCATGTAAAATAGTTGAGTATCTTTTAAAAATATTTTATTCAGGGATAAGGCAATTGTTGGGGCACGCACACTTCTCAGAGCAGCTCGGTTTGAATTCCATTTCTGAGTCCTGACTCTAGAGTCCTGCTAATGCAGACTTTGGGAAATAGTGATATCTGAGGTAGCTGAGTGCCTGCGATACCTGTGCGAGGGCTGCAATGAGTTCCAGGCTCCTGACTTGTGCTCAGCCTGGGCCCATCCATTGCTGGTCGCTGGGGGAGTAAAGCAGTACACGGGGGCTTTCTCCTGCTGTGGAAAGTGGGGTGGGCAGGGAGGGACTTTAGAAAGATATATGGCACATCATGCATTGGATCAGATGGCACTTCATGTCACATTCCCAGAATGCCTCCTGCACAGTCCTGGTGAGGAATCCACGCCATCTAACCATGGATGTCTAGGAATAATACTGTTTCTGAACCATTCTTCTGGTCATGACTTTATTGTAGCATATATTTCATGTAGTAGCATTTTTCTAAAGTGTTTAATTCATTGGTTTGCAGCATATTCAACGTTGTGCAACCATCACCATTATATAATTTTAGTACATTATCACCACTCCAATAAGAAGCACTGTTGATGCCCAAAGTACAGATTCCCACACTTGGACTGAAAATTTCCGTGATGTATGCATCACATATGTAAATAGTAGCAGAGTTAAAAATAAGAGGATTTTATACTTCTTTCAGACTTTGCCAGGATTTCAGGTCTTGTTTTATTCTGTCCCAAAGCAGAAGGTGCTGTTGTTTTTGTACCAGCGGGGAGTGGCGGTTTTTTGGGAAAGGCTGTTGGGTGGTCACAGCTGTCCTGAGCGCCTGCTGCTGTTGGCTTGCAGGGCACTAGCTGACATGAACAATGATGGAAGAATGGATCAAGTGGAGTTTTCCATAGCCATGAAACTCATCAAATTGAAGCTGCAAGGTTACCAGCTCCCCTCTGCACTTCCACCGGTCATGAAGCAGCAGCCAGTTGCCATCTCCAGTACACCAGCGTTTGGTAAGGTTACGAACGTATTTTCAAAATAAACTTCCCCCTTTTACTCTCACCCATCTTCCCCTTAGATTTCAAAATCATAGCATTATTAAAACGTGTGATGGCCCTGTGCAGGAGGACAGTGCTGAAGGGAAGGGGCAGCGCCTTGCAACTGTAGGATGAAAGTTGTACAAAGCTGTAGAAGGCAGGACTGTCCGTCTCAGGACAAGGGGGCAAGTGTGTGGCCTGCTGCTGCTTCTTTTCACACTGAACCTTCGTATCATGCCCGTTTTTTTGGGCTTTCAAAGTTTCCACACAACTTGACTTCTGTTGCATAATGAATTCCATTAGACTACACTATCTAATAATAGCTTTAAAGTCATAATATTGAGGCGTTTGGCCACACTAAGTTCTTGGGTTTTTTTTTTTTTTTTTAAGATTTATTTTATTTCTATTGGAAAGTCAGATATACAGAGAAAAAGACAGAGAGGAAGATCTTCAGTCCTTTGATTCACTACCTGAGTGACTGGCACGTTCAAGGCCAGGACTTTGGTTGCTAGGCTACTGCACTGGGATCCACATTAAATTCTTAGAACTCAGTAGAATGGAATAAAAATGAGCATCCTTCTCCCAGTTAAGGATGTAACTCTGTTGTTAGCTCTCATCTGAATTTTTGTTCCAAATGTGTTATGATAATTCACTGAATGAAGTTGTGTATTTCTCTGACGTCTTTGTTCTCACCTTAAACTTTAACCTTGGGTTGACTTGAAGATTGTGGGAATCAGATTGCAGGATTCTGATTGCAGGATTCTAATTCCTGGAGGATTCTTAAACAAAACAGTTAAAACAAAAGACAACTTGTTGGTAGAATTTCTTTCGCTGTCTTCATGCTGATCTGTCTGATGGAAGGTGATAAACTAAAGTAGATTTGGGAGGAGAAAATGAATAATAATTCATGTTGAATCCGATTAAATGAATAATAAGCTAAAATACTCTTGTTTTACTTAGATATTCTATTAATTTTTAAAAAATATTTGTTTACTTTCATTGGAAAGGCAGATTTACAGAGAAAAGGAGAAGCAGAAAGAACTTCCATCCACTGGTTCACTCCCTAAATGGTTGCAACGGCCAGAGATGAGCCAACAAAGCCAGGAACCAGAAGCTACTTCTGGATCTCTCAACGCACCTTTAGGGTCCCAAGGTTTTGGACCCTCCTCTGCTGCTTTTCCAGGCCATAAGTAGGGAGCTGGATGGGAGTGGAACAACTGAGATATGAAGCAGCTCCCATATGGGATACTGGTACTTGGAGGTAGAGGGTTGGCCAGGGAACCACCAGCCACAAGATGTTCTGTTAAAAGCAGACTATATTTGAAGTGGTGAGCTTAGCCACCAGGCTGGTTTTGTAAGGACAAAGATTGACTTTGGCAGAGATTTTTAGATGATTAGGACAGTGTTCCAGAAGAAGGGGAGCCTACCTAGGAGAGGCCCTTGTGTCTGGTGTGGTCGTGATTCTTACTCATCTAGTTAACCAGCTTATTATTTAAGTGAAAATCACGGAATCCCAGAAGGCTCCTTTGGCCAGTTGTTGGTCAAGATCCAGGTGCTAAAATCCTGCAAGGGCATTTGATTGTCTCTGGCCTCCTTCCAGTGCTGTGAGAAGACAGTTCAAGTGGAGGAAGGTCAGGTGACCAAAGACATCTCACTTTTTATTTTTCTCTCAAACCCTGGGGTCAGTCATTCTTCCTGTAGCGTTTAATCTATTTTCTCTTAGTCCATTCTGCTATGATAAGAATTTCAGCTGTGGGGCTACTGCTGGTTCATTTTCAGGAAGTTACGGCCCTACCGCTGGGTGGGATTTCCCTTCACTGAGGCCACCGCTCCTCGGGGAGGCTGCTTGACTTCTGATCCCTCCCTCTGCCAGCCTGCCTGTACCTCTCCACCCAGGCTTCTCCCTATTTTTTCTAACCTGACTCTCCTTGTGTGGATATCCTCAGTAAAGTTATTACTATTATTTGCAGAGTGTAGATCATTATGGTATATCGGGAAATAGGAGAAGTTAAAAGTTGATGGTTGTTGTCAAGGTGCTCCAGGTCGACTCACAAATTGTGTTCAGTTTCACCTCTTTTTTCAGCCTGGACTTTCCAGCTGCCAAAGAACAGCTATTCTATTACTGTTGTCTTCAAACTAATAATAAAAATGATCTGACCTTGCATTTCCTATCCCTTAAATTTTAAGTCCCTTCACATACATTTTTATCCCTAAATCTACGCGGAAGCTAATAGCTGTGTTGTGTGTGAAAGAACTGAGATTCTGGGCGGCTGGACAGTTGGCTGTCTTCTCCAACCGAGGTAGTTTATCTCTAAAGGCTTGAAGAAGGTAGGTTTCTCTAAAGGCTCTTGTTATCCACCGTACCTTCACCCTCCCTACCTTTGTTAGCACCAGACAGCCAGGAGACACAAACGTGTGTGCAGGGATGTCACCTCTGTGACCCTCAAGCTGGCTGGTGTGTAAGAAATCATTCTGTTTGAGTCCCCAATGTTACAGCAAAGAAAAATGGGATGTAGTGATACTGGGATTTGCTTCAGGGCATCTGCAATGAGACATTCTCTGGGTGTGCCTCACACCTTCCTCCCTTCAACTCTGGTCTTGAATTCAGGAGAATTTCTTTATTCAGGGCAATTTCTTTTGTTTGCCCTGAGTACAGAGCCCGAATGGCCTGGGAAGAATTCCCACTGGAGCTGACCTCTGAGCTGACTTAGGTGTGGAGAACCATGTGATAGCTTAACAGAGATGCCTTCTGGCCAAAAGTTGTTGAAGAACCTGGTGCAGTAGCCAAGCGGCTAAAGTCCTCACCTTGCATATACCAGGATCCCATATGGGTGCCGGTTCATATTCCCAGGACGGCCCAAAGCCTTGGGACCCTGCACCCACATGGGAGACCCGGAAGAAGCTCCTGGCTCCTGGCTCCTGGCTTTAGATCAGCTCAGCCCTGGCCATTGCAGCCATGTGGGTAGTGAACCAGCAGACAGAAGATCTTCCTTTCTGTCTCTCTTCCTCTCTGCATATCTGACTTTTCAATAAAAATAAACTCTTTAAAAAAAAAAAGAGTTGCTAAGGACGGAGAGACCCACAATCTAGGTTAAAATCTGTAGGTGTCTGAGAAACCAGTAGCAAAGCACTAAAGGGCAAAGGTCAGAACTAAGGCAGGAAATAAAGTGTTGAGTGTTGGAGGGCTTTTTCCTACAAGGAGTTGAAAGCTACAGAGGGCAAAGAAGTGTTAGGGTGGATAGATCCCTGGAAGAGTCCGTGTTAGCTGAAGCCTGGAGTGATTGAAGACGGGAGTGGCATCCTGGATTAGAGTTCAGAGGCTGCAGTTGCCTCCTGTTGGAGGTAATGGTTACTCAGTGCTGGGTAATTGACAGTCTGTATGGAGGAGAGGTGAGATCCTGTTGCGGGGTGCAAGCTAGATCACACCAGTCAAACTTGAGGTTTATTCAGGAGTCTCTTAAACAAGCTTGGTGATAACAGGGTCCACAAGTCCGTATGGCAATCCAATCAATTGTAACCCTAAGAGGAGCAAATGGTCATTACCCTGAAGTCCGTCCTTTAACCTATATCCCAGTTTCCCCAACAATATGTTATCCTGAGAGATATGAAACAAATAGCCTGGGCACACTTACAAAGCCACCGGCTTTCACCTTTCCTTGGCCATTACTGGAGGCCTTACTCTTCTGGAACAGTACACACATTAGAAATACAAAGTATTGGGCCCAGCACCGTGGCCTAGTTGCTAAAGACCTGCCTTGCGTGCGCCGGGATCCCATATGGTCACCGGTTCTAAATCCCGGCAGCTCCACTTCCTATCCAGCTCCCTGCTTGTGGCCTGGGAAAGCAGTCCAGGATATCCCAAAGCTTTGACCCATGTGGAAGACCTTTAAGAAGTTCCTGGCTCTTGGCTTCGGATCGGTTCAGCACCGGCCATTGTGGTCACTTGGGGAGTGAATCATTGGACAGAAGATCTTCCTTTCTGTCTCCTCTTCTCTGTATATCTGACTTTCCAATAAAAAAAAATCTTAAAAATACTAAGTATCTTTGCATTAACATCTTCACTGTCCCACCCAAGCAGTGAACAGAGGGTGAGGCAATACAGACACACTGGGACCATGCTTGGGGAATGTTTGTTCTTAATCTGTCTGTGGGAAGCCAGAGCCCAAGCAGGTACTGGGAAGGCAAGAGTGCCAGAGTGAGGGAAGCACGTGACCAAGAGAGTGAGCGCCTCCCCATCAGGAGCCTTTATCCGGGCTTGTAAGGGGACTGGCTACACAGCAGTGCAGTACTGCCCCCGACCTAGATGGTCGGGTAGTGACTTCAAGCTGGTGACCCTGAACTGGCTGCCTATCTCAGTCCTTCATTTTTGGAGGAATTAGGGCAAAAGGGCTTCCCAGGAGTTGGAAATGACATGTCTCAATCACTAGATGGATGGTGCAGTTTTCTGTGGAGATGGTGATAACAGAGAAATGGTTTGGGGGCGGGGGAGGACGAGGTTTCTGGGTAGGATCGGCTGTGCGAGTTTGAACCTGGAAGGGCCTGCAAACTCTGGACTGAGAAGTCTAGGAGGAATGGGCAGGGAAACAAGCACAGGAGCTAGGGAGCCCGTGTCGTCGTGTGGCCTGACTCTGAAAGGTCCAGTGAAAGCCAAGGAGCTGGAGATCGAGACTGACAGGGTTGAAATGGGAGAAGACTGGCGTCTAGGTAACCAGGATAAGTCGTTCTGACGAGATAGTACTGCATTGTGTGTGCTGCTCCTAAGAGAGTGAAGAAGAATGGGGCGGAAAGATGATGATGAGCTTTGCCGCGCCGCACTAGCGCATGACCTGGGCGAGCAGTTTCAGCTGGGGAGGTGGGCACCACAGCCTGGTGAGAGGCTTGGAAGGTGGGGGAGCCCGTACCATGAGGGCACGCTTTTTGTTTTTTAAAGAGAAAGTATAGACTCCTGATACAGGGCAAATGGGCCAATTGAAATT